TGTAAGTCCGCAGACATACCGCTGTACCACTGGGGGGCGAAAGGAAAAGAAAGAGAGAAAAGAGTGAGAGAGGACCTCTCTAAACATTCGCAAACCTATCTACAGTCGATGGTACTAGAGACAGATAGTGCTATACTATAAAACTTATCTAGCGACGAATTTCATGGGAGAGTTTCAAAATACAAAAGTTTAATAACTGTTGATGATTTTAAAGTTGACATATGCACCATATGTATTCAAGTTTTATCATGTATATCGTAGGAATTGCTCTAAGTAAAGTCTATAAATACCACATTTTTTAGGGTAATACCCCATTATCTCTAATATAATTACAGTGTTCAGGCTATGTGTGAATTTTACCTTCTTTCCAGGTAACTTTTCCTTGTTCAACTTCAAATGTCCCACGGCCTTGGAATCAGGCATAGTTGCCAGAAATATCAAATTTCTTAATCTTGGTTGAAAATATATTAAAGATTATTATGCTCACTTGGTTTTTTCTTGTAAATTTAGTATACATAGTACTTTTGGTGCTTATTTGGTAATATTTGATAAAACAGATTGGCAACGCAGGTTAGTATATTATGGCTGTGATGCAGCCAGTGCTGAAATCAGTTGCTGCTGGTATATTCATGAAAACAATTTCGTCATTGCAGTGATTTGTGCAGGACTTTCATAACTCTCAGGAAACTTTATGTGTACCTGTTTATGTGTACACTTTCCTTTCTTACAAAATAAGTGACAATAAAATCAGCCATGTATAAGTGGCTCATAAAAAAACGTAAAGTTGAATCTGATGTTGAAAGGCCTAAGTCAAGTTTATGTTCGGTATCCATAACTGAAGAAAGAAATATTCATGAACACAGTAAACACACTGAAGCAAACATTTCAAAATCAACCTCGAATGCTTCTGTGCCCAATTGTGATATGACTGATATCCCTAAGTGTTGGTCCTCTGATCAGTTTATAGAAAAATTATGTGAATATGAGTGGCCTTCCACAAGACAAGTTAAACTTGTTTGTCGTGTGTGTAAGAATATTTAAAAGTTAAGTGCTGACAAAATGCAAGGCTTAGGTTTATGCCGTGAAGGGCAAGATGGCAGTGTGGAAGCTACTGGTGAGACAACACAGAAACAGCAAGAACAATTAAGGAATGGAATATTCAAACACAAGAACAGCGTTGCACACACGCTCACACACACAAGAAATAACATATGCAGCTTCCAAAACAGCATTGGAAATCATGGTAGCCAAACAAAAATACTCGTGCTTAGAATCCACTTGTCTTGTATTTCGAACTGTTTACAGTATTTGCAAAGCTGGATGTCCATTTACTAACTTGCCCAATCTTGTAGATCTTCAAGTCCTCAATGCAATTGACATGGGACATGTTTTACAGTGATCATTCTTGTGCAAACATTAGTGTTCACATTACTAATGCTATGAGAAAGAAATTAGTGATTGAAATAGTAAGCAAAAAACTCAAGATTGGTATAATGATTGACGAATCATCATCAATAAGTAAAAAAACAGCTTTAATTTGCATCAAAGTGCAGTTTCCAGAAGCAGATGCAGCCACAAGCGTGTTTTTAGAAATAACAACTGCTGCAGAAATTGTATCAGCTCTACTGGCGAGATTGAATAATCTTGGTTTTACAAAAGAGTACTTGTCTTCTTGTTGGCTGTCGTTTGCTTGTGATGGTGCATCAAATATGTTAGGCAGAAAGCTGGTATTGCAACCAAATTCTTAGAAATGTTTCCATGTCTTATTGTGTGGCACTGTGCAAATCACCATCTAGAACTTGCAGTGTCTGATTTTGTGAGAGAACTGTCAGAAGTGTGCCATATGAAAATTTTCTTTGATAAGCTATACAGCGTACATAGTGCATCGCCAAAAAATTGCATTGAACTAAAAGACTGTGCAGCTTTGTTGAACATGCAGTTGCTAAAAGTTGGGCATATTTTGGGAGTGTGGTGGGTGGCATCTAGTGCTCGCTCTGTCAGGGCTGTATAGCGGGATTTTCTTGCATTGTTTACAGACTTTGAAGCTGCTGAGAATGACCTTAAATGTAACTCATCAGAAAGAGCTCAATATCAAAGCCTGACAGAACGTATGAGTGATGTTTCGTTTGTAACCAATATGGGTTTAATGTTGGGTGCACTCACAGAGTTGGAAAATTTGTCGCTCGAACTACAAAAATGGTTGGTGATGTTATCAATAGCACACAAACTAAATGATCGAAAGTATCTAGAATTTCAGTCTACGAACAACAACCCAGGAGAATATCTGATGACAGCACAGAATGCAGCAAATACACTGGATTTTTGTGGTGTAACTCTGCGCCCTCCATAAAGGGTCGAGGCCATCGGTAACCAGGGATTTTATAAATTGTTCGTGGATAAACTTGCTAGGAGGATGTTTGCATCGGGATCGATAGCTTCCCATTCTACTAAAGAAATATATGAAAACAGAAACGGCGTTAAATATAAGGAAATGATGAAGTACTTAAAAATGTTAGATCCTGCAAACCGGCATTTGCTTTATTAATAAAACCGTTCGCTACCTGAGTGTACATTTTCAAGTATTAATGAACAATTCGGTGCATGGATTTCGACAGTATAAAGCCTGTGGAGTATGCAAAAATTTGGATTCAAAAGGGAAGATGCAACGCAGATGAGACAAGCGCTGGAAATCAAGGCTGAAATTCCACCAGGTTACGAATATCTGTATAAATTATATTAAAGGTAAAATAATGTATTTGCATGTTCTTGATTTTTTTTAATGTCATTCATTGATTTGTGTAATTTTGCTAATAAAATACTTGTTTTAACTTTCATGAATTTCAAAACAAAAATTTTAGTGAAAAAAAGAGCTTCCAAATTACGAAACACTATAATCGTATTCGATGACGAGGAACCCACTTTGAGACTAATAATGGTTGGAGACGGCTTGAATGGGTA